TTGGCGGCTTGATATTGACCGTTTAAGAGATTAGATACAAAGACATTTTATTAAAAAGTGTTGTTGCTCCAATTATCTCTGTTCTCAGCTAAGAAAATAAAAAAAAAAAAGCAATTAGGGATATATTAGAATGTCTGGCGCAGCTTGATTAAGGACAATGATGAAATTATTGTCATGCATTCATGTTGAATCTAAATTAATTAAAAGCATAATTATTGGGTACCAAGAATTTCATCTTGTAATCTACCCACTCTGTTCTGTACAGCTAACTAAGAAATTTCTAAAGTGGTTTGTAGTTGTTGATGAGACTGTATTGCTAGAATGACAGTTCTTTCATTTGTGAGTTGGGATTTGAGTTCACGTGAGGTAAAATGGAAGTTGTAATTGTCGTTCTTTCATTTCGGGTTTCCATGGGGAGATGGAAGTTGCACATTTAGGATTTGTTAGAACTTAGAAGTAGTTTTTGATTTTTTTGGTTCCTGGAATTTCTTGAGAGTAAAGGTATGGTTCTGTCATGTATTTTGCATTTTTCTTTGAAGTCAAGAAACTCAATTCTTCATTTGTTCCAAGGAACTATCCACTTATAACCCAAAAAAAAAAAAAAAAGGAAATAAAAGGGAACTATCCACTAGGCAAAAACTCAAAAGCGCATCATTTCATTTAATTCATCATATTTGTAAATAAAAAATGAACTTGATATTTTCTCAGAAAATTATATCTTAATTTCAAACTATAACACATGTAATTGGGCAGTGACGATCAACACAAGTCTTAATAATTCAACATGAGCAAACCCAAGAATTGTTTTTTCCCATTTGTCTAATTTTTTATTTTTTTTCAGATTAATTTTTTTTAATAAATACCACATCCTAATATATCTTTTTACATTCTTAATTTTTTTTTTGTATTTTAAATAAAAATATCTAAGAATACACATTGAAAAAATAATCTGAAGTCTAGCACATTGTACAATTATTATTTTACGTGATAAATTTATTTAATTTTATCCATATAAAACACAATAATGACATTAAGGCTGATTATAAGTTGTGTTTTTTGACTGTATCTTTCTTTTGTCAATTGTTGCTGGACGTTTTTGAGTAATTTAATGAATTTGTGTTTTATTTTTTTTTACAAAAAAACCGTATTACTCTAAGAGATATGACACTGGCATCATTCTATTTCACCTACTTCCTAAATTGTCTTAGGATTTGTTTGATAATCACTTAATTATGAATTCTAAACACGTAATACCTAATGTTGAAAACTAAAGATTGAATCTATATTATATATTAAATGAGACATTTCAATCGATACGTGTCACTTAATTAGATGGTTGAATCTTTTTTGTCACATGTCAAGTTCAATTTTTTTTTTTTTTACATGTATCAACACTAAAAACCCATTTTCATTAAAGTGTTAATTTTTTATATAAATTAGTTATTTTAATTTACTTTTTACCCATACATTTCACCCGTCTTTATTACATTCTATATATTTTGATTATCTACTTAATTAATAATAAAAACCAATCTTTTCACTGCTAATTATATTTAGCTTTTTTTATTGGTTGATAAAAATGATTTTTCACATATTTTTAATCAAGTTCACTGTGGTAGAATTTTTTTAATTAAAAGAATACATTTTATTTAGTGGATGAAAAACCATCGAGTATGTATACAATGTAGTATTTTTCAGAGAAATCTAACAAAAAAAATATTACTAAAGAGATGTTATATAAAACACTATATATCTTTATATTTTTTTCCTTTTTGAGTTCGCTAAAAATTTCATTTTGAGTTTACTAAATTTGTTTGTAAAAGTTTACGTTATTATACTATCAAGTGATTATCAATTTTATCGATTATTACTTCTAAAATTTTACTAAGAATGAGTTAGACTAATGTTTATCTTTCAAAATGTACACTATTTAGAATACTAAATATATATAAAAAAGGATAAATTTAATTTACACAACAAAACACGGATAAGAATTATTTAATCATAAAACCCGACTCAAAACTTTATCATATTATGACGATAAAACTCAGGTCACATGTAATCACAGTTTCACAATTTTACATAGTACATGTAACACAATCCGTGCAATGCACGGGCATCATTCTAGTTCACATTATTTTTAAAAAATGTCTGAAAACTAAATCTGAATAGTTAAGTTTGAATTCTTATTTAATCTTTAATATAATTAGTATAAAAAATATAAATAATTTTTTTTAATAAAAACACATTTATTAATGTTTCTTAAATAATAAAATAATAATTTTAGAATACATTTAATTTTGTTAAGTACTTAAATAAATTAAATGATTAAAATAAGTGATTAATAAACAAAACCTTAGTTGTCCAAAAGTAAATGCCCTTCTATATTATCCTTTCTCTAGTTTCTTTTTCTTTCTTTCTTTCTTTTTTTTTGGCGAAATATCGCCACTTAATTAGGGTGCTCCCATGTATACATATTTATCGAATTTTCCCACATTCATGGAAAATCGACCCATTTCTCTACGTTATTCCTAATTTAAGATTACAAGGATTTTGTTTTCACATATTTTATCAATAAATTAATGGAAATCAAATCTTTACCATTAATACCATTAATGAATGGATACACACCACAATCATAAGACCCCTATATAAACCATCTTTTAGAACAGAAAATAACCACAAACTTAATTCAATATTCTTTTGCACAAATGGCTTCTCAAACGGGAGTGATAGTGGCCCTTCTCCTTTTTGCAGCTTTATTCAACGTCCTTACATTCGAAGCAGTTGCAAGAGATTTACCTTCAACTAATACTATACCAACAAACGTTGTGTTGGGTGCCCATGAAGATAATGCTCAAGAATTACATCAGGACTCAAGTAAGGTTGAGTCCGTTGTCAAGCAAGGGCAACCATTTAGGACCTGTGAACCGGCATGTTTTCCATTTTGTGTTTGTTAATTTGTTACTCTATTTTATTTCTACCATATACACATAATGTCCACTATTATTCACTTATATTATATGTGCTTTTTTCCGAATAAATCTTTCAATTTTCAATCGCAAGATGGGATCTCTCACTAGTTGATGTTGCTTTATTATTAGCTATTACTCGTTAATGCTACGTTACGCCTTTTTTTGCAAAATAAATGGTTAAAAGTGATTGGGAAATCATTTGGAACAATTTAATATTTATTCCTTTTTTCCTTATTCAATATTTATTCCTTTGTCATCATTATTGGATCGGAAAAAGATACATGGATTTTGATACTCACGTTATGAATGTGTAAAGGATAAAATGAAAATAAATACTAATACTCGAAATTATTGAGCTACTAAAAAGTAATTAAATCACGCCTTTTTCACATGTAGACCATTTTTTTTCCCGTCACTAGTGGACCATATAAGGGATATATGTTATACAATGTATTTCTCTTCATAAATAAGAGTTTATATTATCTCTTCAAAAATTGATCCCTAGTTTGCTATTTACTCCCCCAAGATTTTGAACATTTTTGAATTTTTTTTTCCTCCCACTTTTGAACATTATTATCTTGATGTCATAGATCAACCTAAAGCCGCAACACTGGGTATTGAAAAAGAAAAGGTAATGGATACAATTTCTATGAACGAATTGTAAATAGATGAACCACATCTACATAATACTCCCTCCATTCACAAATAGATGTCGTTGGAGGAAAACCCAAATATTCCAAAATAGATGTCGTTATCACAAATTGAGGCATATTTTGTCAATTTTTTCTAATATCACCCTTACATTGGAAATTGTTGTGATGTTTAATGTAGAATTGTATTAGAAGTGAATTTTATTGGGACTACAATTGAATTAAGAATAAATGAGGGTATTATAGTATTTTAACAAGATAATTATTGCCTCCTTAAACTTTGTGAAATCTCTCCAGCGACGTCTATTTGTGAATGGAGGGAGTACATAGTAGTGTTAACGTAGAGCATTTAAAAAATTAATAAGGTATCGTGAATGATGTTTATTAAAGCACAAATAAATAATATGCATATATTGAATTCAAGAACACAAATATGCCATAACATAAAAAGCAAGAAGACTACTGAATTTTAGGGTAACTGGCCACGGGTAAAACTAGTTTAAGAAACAAATTTTTTCTTTTTGAAAGTTAAGTAGAATCCCTTAATAAAAAAAATAAAATAAAAAAGTTCCAATTGAGAAAATTGTGCGGAGACGAGAACAATAAAAGGAGAAAACACCTAAAACAAGTCATCTATCAAGCAAAGTGTCATTGGCTCTACACTCACCAAGACGCTAAAGTCTTTCATTCAGCTTAAATATATAATGATACTATATGAATATTTTTCCTCACTCTTCCACCATGATACTACTATGAATGGCTTCACAACCATTCAACATGTATTTTGAAAAGATATTGTGGGTGTAGGGTTGTATTGGAGTCGAGCCGAGTCCGAGTAGTGATATCTCGAAACTCAAATAAAAATTTTGGGTCTATTTCAAACCAAACTAAAAAAGAAAAACTACTCGAAAGTCAAATAAAAATTGTGGGTATATTTTAAATAAAACTTAGAAAGAAAAAAAAAAGGCTGATAGAATCTCCGTTTTTGTTTTATTATGGCAGCACTAATAATTTATGGATAATTACAATTATGTCTTTTTTCGGACAGGGTAATACTCTAATATTCATTTTACTCTGGATGTAAGAAAAAAAGGTTTTGCCTGTCAGGTGGTGAGCGTGACTACACTTATACTATTTATTTTGGAGCATTGGCTTTCTTACCCTAACTTAGGAACATTCTTAGGGATCTGACCTAGATTCCACCGGCAATTAAAGCCTCTATTAAGATTCTTAGGCCCATCATACCTACAGATTTGGGCCTTATAGGAATATGAATTCCTTAAGCCCACTAGCCACCACCGTCCTCCAGGCAACAAAATCTCTCAGGGAAACGATTATATGGAAAGTATCTCAACCGCAATATGCCGATGTGGGACTGGAATCTGTATCGCAATTCGCAATTCATTCACTTATTAAAAATCTTACAAGTTACAACCACTCAAAAAATGGCTCGTTCAATTAACTTGATGAAATCTTTTGTAATTTCGCACAATCATGACTACCCAAAATCACGAACAAATGAAGGAATATGATACGTTCAAATCTAGATAAAACTTAATGATGATACCTAACAGTACTTGTAAACTTTTGACTCTAAAAGTAGATCAGACCTCCACCATTGGTGAATTCCGTGAGCTTCTTTGAAATCTTGGGAAGGAGTCATATTAACAACAACAGAGGCAGAAGGAATAAGATGTATAGGTTCTTCTACTTCCTTTTTACTTATTGCAGACATAACAAGGCCGCCGATTGAATGTTGAGTCGCTAGCTTTTCGATAAGTCCAGCTCCGATTCCATCCATATGTTTTCTGTGTTCAAAATAACCAATATATTCAGAGCATAGGTGATCAGCAGGATTCACAAATAAAAACGGCACCCATTCAGACAATGCGGCAAATGTATCCTCTGAGGATGACTGATTCTTCAAGTGTTTATCCTTCATAGCAAATGCGAGTCCAGCAGTGATCACGCTGGTCGCGATACGGATCCCGTGTTTAACTTTTTCATGCTTGATTTTCTCGATGGGAGCCGACACATATGGTGGGTTGAAAAGATAAGATTGAAGTAAGACGCCAGTTTTAGCCATACTCTTCCCCACCAGCATCGCCAAACCAGAACCTAGAGAATGCCCGGCTAACCAAATATTGGAACTTGAGCTACCATACGTCGCAACGATGGCGCGAACAGCTTGAATAGCGATTTCAAATCGAGATGTTCGATGAAGGTCATTGCGGATTAAGTGGACATCTAACTGGAAATCCCTTGAAAATGCATCGCCTTTGGTTAAAGTACCTCGAAAAGCAATAACAAAACGCGGGAGATCACTGCTGACTAAGCTATGATCACCGGGTGAAGGGTTTATAAATTCATAGATGGCACCAAAAGTAGATGAATCGGCTTCATCGATGAGTGGAGTACATAACTGAAAATTGAAGAACTTCCACCAAGGGGGAGCAAGGGCTGTATCTCCCTGCCTTTTCTCCTGGCGATCACGTTCCAAGATGTAAACGCCTTGAACCAAACTAGCCGCGGCGGACCTTCTATGATCTGCATTACTCCTGCATGTAAAGACGACATATCACTAAATATGATCAAACAAGGATTCATCAACAACAACCTTATATCCAATGGTAACACATTTCAGTCCATTACACTAATGCGGTTTAGAATCCATCACTATTAACTTTATCAACACTTTCAACTTTCAAGTCAATAGATCCAACATTTTGCATAAACAGACTGATAACATGAAGACACCACAGTATTTTGAGTATGATAACAAGAAGCATCCACCAGGATGCCAGGGAAGCTTTTTATTGCAATTAGTCAGTGTACTAATCTATTCTTAGCTTTTAATCCCAAAACTACAGAGATATGCCTTAATCATATCGACTGACCTTCATGAAAGAAATCAAGTCACCGAATCATAAAGAGAATTCAACTTTTTTTTCTTTTTTGTTCAATAAAATAGAAATCAACTGAAAAATGAGAAATTGCAGCTTTTACCACATTCCTAGATACAGAACTTCAAATCTAGAGAGACCAATATTTACAGAAGAGGCCATACCAGTCCACAGTAGATAGATGCAATGGTCCAGATAGCTCAAAATCTTCTCTTTCTGACCCCATTACTGGTATTCCTTCTTATTAAATTGAACAGCAGCAATCAAAAAAAAATTCAATAAAATCATCAGCACTCAAACAATCCTAATATAAAAAAAAAAAAAAAACCCTTTTCACTTGGCCTCTGACAAGTGATGAAACTAACATTTACACTTACCGTTTAACCGGGAATGAAAAGAGCGATTGGGCCTTACAATGACACCATCATGGAATCATGAAGAAAGGAACAGAACACAAGATCTCCCACCGACAGAAGAGAAGATAACACGGGATTCGAGGAAGAAACCTCGTAACGAGGTGGGACGGTGTTGAAAGTTGAAACGGAGATTGAATGAAGATGGGATCTGAGTTTGATTGGGAGCAGGAAGTGATGGAGATGGAAAAGCTTTCAATTCGGGTTTTGACAATTGAATGATGTTTTTTGCTTTCCTCACGCTAACTGTCATTAACGGCTCGGTCTCGCGGTCCGGTGTCGTTTCTAGTTGTTACGAGTAACAATTCTGTCGGATTCTTTTTTTAGTACTACGAGTAGTATTTATTATTTTTGTTTAATTTTTATAATTTACGCCAGCCCAGAAGATTAGGAGACTGATAATTTGGTTATGTAAAGTGATGCTACCTCTTTACAGTATTTTTACATTCTTTTTTTTTTCTTTCGAATTACCATAGCTTAGCTCATACAACTTCTACCTTAGCTTTCATTTTCTACTAACAAAGATATATAACAAGGGGCAACATAAAAAAAAAATACCCTTTTATCTACACTCAGTGTTAATCTTAGCTGTAAGTAACATATAAAAAGAAAATAATACTATCTCATTTTCACAATGTATATCCAGTTTGAGCTGCACCAAAATTAAGGGATAACTGTTAACATATATATATATATATATATATATATATAAATTTTTATCTACCCCCGATTAATTAGACTAACCTTAAAGGAGGTAGCAAACGTTAGCAGTTCTTCAATGGAAGAAGAAAAAGTATTCTATATTATTAATTAATTTAGTTTTTTAAAAAAATTATATGATACTTCCCCGTGTTTGATTTGAACAATTGAAGACTAAATTATATCTTATAAATATAACCGAAAAAAAATAATGTAGATCATTCGAGAACAATGTTAACAAAAGAAAATTTTGAAACAAGGATTCATCATTATTTTTAATGGTAAAAAAGAAAGAAAAAACTTGATAGTATTTTAATTATAATTTATTTATGCAGTTTGGTACTTTGTTTCACACATAAATTACAACTACACAATCGCTGTATTATTTTAATTATAAAAAAAAACGTGTCTTAATAAATCCATATTAACAGAATGTCATTCCAATTTTGTTGACATTATGTATCTATGTAGTCCTTTCAAGAAGAAATACCACTTACTGAATTTCCTGCATGTTTGTTGGTCTTTGCTTTCTTATTCAGAGTTGTACTAGTGCAAGTTATCAGATTCCAGATTGGAATTGGAATTGGTCATTATTTATAATCAATTCAGTTTGTAATTTTTTACTTCATCCTTCTAGACTTCTAGTTCAGGAAACCAATTAACATTGTTTCTCTTTCAAATCCTCTGTTTCACCAAACTAATCTTGGCTCTGAGAATTTGATAATCATCAATGGGGAAAAAAGCTGTGAGTGATTGATTGGTCGGGCCTTCCACACAGGAGATGTTGGTAGAGACACCCACACGGATTCCGTCGGCGGAAGATTGGTCGTGGTTCTAAAGGACTGTATCTTGTGGAATCATCCTCAAACGGCAAGCTGCTAGTAATCACACGGGTGGTTTGTTTCTCTAAGAATGATTACGGACGGTTATTAAGTTTTTTATTCATTGAATTGGATGTGATGAAACAGGAGTGGAAGGTGATGAATAGCCTGGGAGACGATGCTGTTTTTGTTGGCCATAATGCTTCTGTTTCGGAGTCCGCCTCTGCCTTTCCAGATGGTGGAATTAGGTCCAACTCCATCTATTTCACAGACGATTCCTTGCAAGCTTATTTTCTTGCAACAACACGCGATTTAAAGGGTTATCTAGCGGGCTTCGGGACACGGGTATTTACAATGTTGAAGACGAAAGTATTGAGCGATCCCGATGACATTGGTTCTTTCAGTCCTTTTTGTCAGTGTGGTCAAACTCGGACCGGAGCTCGACTCGGCATGGCTAGGGGGTCGAGCGACTCGGGGATCGACACGGGTGATGTCATAATGACATAATAAATATTAATTAATTAATTAATAATTATATTTTAATTAAAATTTTATATACAATTGTCAATTATTAAAGTCAAATTAGTATTTTATATCTTGAAAATGGGTTTTGATGGGACAAAGTTGAACTCGAAAGGTCGATTAAGATGATTTTTTAATTATTAATAAAAAAATATTTAGTTATTATATGTCTACAACTAAAAAAAACTTAAAATTTATATATCTTTTTTATTGTAATAGTCAATATTGATATTTTTTGTATTAGTTAATTATAGTTATTTGTGAAGTAAGTATATTAATAAGGTTATTAAGATAAATTAATTATTACTAAATATCAATTGTTACTTAAAAAATTATTAAATTTGCAAAATAATTAACTTTAAATATCAAGACAAATGTATTTTGAAATCAACTCCAACATATTAAAGTTATAGTTTAACTTTTGCTTAAGATGATAAAAGTTGGTATGTGCGAGAAAATTAAAAAAAATCAAAATAAGACCTTTAATAGTAAAAATTAAAAACTGGGGACTGAAAAACCAAAATAATGTTTTGAATAAAACAAACATCGAAAGTTGTGGGCCATTTGTGAAGAAAAGAAAAAAATTTAGGCTTGGAAGATGTTGGATTCCATGAGAAATTGTGAAAAATTTTGGTCAAAAGTAAAAAAACTAAAAAATCCGAGTCAACCAGGTTCGATCCAATTCCCGGTTTGATCGGAATTTTGACCGGTCTTGACCGAGTCTGAGTTTGACGATTTTTAGACTAACTCGGCTCAATTAAGAGTTCGGTTTCCAGTTTAACCAATTCGACCGGTCAATCCGAGCCGAGTCTGACAATACTGCTTTTTGTCCATTCCTAGCCCTGTGGGTAACTCCATGCCTTCCATTCCCATAGCTCTCCTGCTCAGCAGGATGGAGTTTTCAACAATATGATCAATAAGGGGAAGTGTGTTGGTTCACTGAAAATGTCATTGATTTGCAAGTTCTTCTCCTCCTGGCGGCAGGACATGAGCCTCGAAGATTTCATCGCTTTTTCAGACAACTTTTATGTTGGAGAAGTTCAACTTCAAGAGATAGTTTTACTGTGTGTGATGTTTGCATTGTTGCTCAATTCACAGCAAAGAATAGGGCTGTCAATGAACCGAGTCAAGTCCAAATAGTTAGGTGCTCGAGCTCGAGTTCGACAAAAAATTTGGAGCTCGTATTCGAGTTCGAACTCCGTCGAACATCTAAATTGAAGTTTGAGTTTGGCTCGAAATAAAACGAATAGTTTGTGCTTGGCTCTATTGGCTCGAGTTTTTGTGTCCCATAAAAATTGAGCTGGAATGCTCGATAGTATTAAGCTCGAATAAATTTTAATATTTGTCATTTTCAATTCAACGCGTTCAATATATGTGTTTTATGAGCAAAATTCTTTGTTTAATCATAAAAAATATGTATATCCCATTATTATAACTTCAAAATATAAAAGACAATAATTTTTAAGGAATAAAAAGAAAAATTTTCATGACTTAAATATTACTCATAATAAAAATAAAATAATTTATCATAAGTTCGAATAGGCTCGACGAGCCCTTGAATTAATCATTTTGATACTCGTGTTCGACTCGTCTATCTAATCAAATTGTTCGAATTTGGCTCGAGTTAGGTCAAAATCGAATTCAAATCAAGCTTTGACCAAGCTATTCACAAGATGTTCGTGAATTGCTCGGTTCATTGACAGCCCTATTAGAGAATGCCATAGATTAGATTGGACAACTATTGTAAAATGTCAATATTAATGATTCAAGTTAATTATTTCGACCAGTGTGAAAATTCACTTGTATTATACTCTCTCGGTCCTTATTATAAGACAGGTCAGCTACTGTGGGTCATCAGTATATAATATTATAACTACTGGTCAAAATTCACTTGTATACTCATCAGTATATCTTTGCTACATATATTGCTGAACCGCCGCCACAGTAGCTTACCTGTATTGAAAAGCTCTAGCTCACAACGTTGGACACATTAATTTTTTTTATTTTAGCAAATTCACAAAGACTAGGACTAATTTTTTTATTCCCTTCAATCCTTAATATATGGCATTTTGCTTTTTCCTAGTTTCATTTTTGATGTTCTTCCAATAGAAAATAAAATTTTAAAAATAATTTACGTTTATTGTGTTTTTTTAATTATTATAAATCATGTTTAAAGTTTTATTTCGATTGAAAAACACTATAAATTAAATATAAGTGAAATCAAAATACCTTATAATAAAATCCGGAGGAAGTAATGCCATTTTTATGATCTAATTTACTTAATTCTCCTTTAGGAACCTAATCCATATTGTTTCTTATCTTTAATTCTTGGCATTCCTCTTAAAATTGCAACGGCACCTCACAAAGAATCAAATCCTAATCTGGGGTTCTTAATCTTAACCCCTAGAGAAATAGCAGTGAACCTCACTACGTCTACCAGATTTTAGAATTAAATATTAAGCATAATTCAAATTGAACAATCATTTTAGAACGAATGGAGTACTATTTTTCTAATTTGTGCTAAGGGATTAAAAGTGCTTGTTTGAAATATAAAAAAATAAAGTTTTTAATAAAGCTATTGAGATTTGAGAACATAAGACAACTTTAAGGAAATGTAATAGACTATCTTTTGTTGCAGAATTTGTTTTTAAAAAAATGTGCCTTCTTTATCCAGAAAAAAAATTGAAAATCCAAAATAAACAATCATTCCGGGATCGAGCGAATAGCTGTTATTTTAACAAAAACAATATTTCTTACAATCATATCATGATTCACGAGGCACAATTTTAAATTAACGGGTAGTTATAATATTTCATAATATAGAGTATAGACTATTATTATTTTTGAAAAAAAAATGTACGGAAAGAAATTTAGTTTTTGAGTCCGCAAAGAAAATGAGCTAGCTGAAGCCCAAAATTAAGTCACCCAGCCCACTAACAAAGTCGGCTATTATTATGTATTTTGTGGAAATTAACGGGCAGTCGGCTATTATTATGTATGTGATCCCTTCCTCCTTCCAAAACAATTTTCAAAAAAAAAAAAAAAAAACAGTCTCTGTTCATACTGCCGCTGAAATTAGCCGTTTAATTCTGGGTAACGTTTTAGTCTCTTCTTAAAATTGGATTTTTTAGGGGTTTTTGGTCTGACATTGGGTTTTGGGGGTCGTTGTAACCGGGATTGATTACTGAATTCTTCCTATTTTGTTTATTAGTTTGTGTTAATTAATCGTTTTGGTGGCCTTCCCCTGTTTTCCAGAATAGATTGCCGTCCGAAGTACGAACCCTTCTCCACTGCAATTCTGGGGATTTCATCGCTTCCATCTCCACTTACTGCAGAAATCTCTACATTCTTAGTGAAAGGTGGGTTCTTTGATCAAATTTCAAGATTGGGTTTATCCCAATTGTTTACCTTTTTGTTTCTTGTGATTGATTGTTAATTTTATTTATTACTCTGTTTCATTAATCGTTTTCATAATGTGGGTTCCCCCTGATTTTCAATAACAGATTGCCCGCAAAAACCCTTTCTCTGCTGGAAGATTCTGAGGGTTTGATCAACTGCAGTTTACATATTCTACAGAAATCATAATAAAAAGGTTGGTTCTTGAGTCCAATTCAAGATTAGGTTTTCTTTCCAAAGGTTGTTTGTCGCAATTTTTTTCTTCGAAAAAAAGATAGAATCTTGTTGGAATTTTGGGCTTAAATTTGGGGGAACTTGGGGGTTTGGTTTTCTGCGATACCACCGTGATTGGGTTAGTTCTTAAGGTCGTTTTCTTGTCTTTTCTGCAGATTGTGTCGATCATGGAGAACGTGTTCCTGACCAATGATGAGGTTCCTTGGAATTTAAGGGCAGTGGCCAGGGGGTGGTTCCCCGATGGGATGCTGGAGATGGCACTGGCCCTGGTGCTCAAGTCAGTGATAGCGGCTGTTTTACGCGTGAAAGATGACAAAGAATTTGCTGACACTCTGCAATCAGTCACGGCGGCTGCTGTGCACTTTAAATGGAACTTTGACCTGAATTTTCCTGTTATGGTGGAGTTAATCTGCCCAACAAACTACATCCCGCCCACAGATCCTGACTTTGATATGTTGCTTTTTGCCCTGAATGGCCTCCCAGAGATGAAGAATGAAAAGTTTTAAGCAGTTGAGCCTTGAGGTTATCTTGGTTACCACAAACAATCTGCCATTCTCCTTTAACACTCCCCCAACATACTGCAATTGTGGGTTATTAGCAGCATCTAATGTAGCCTTTATAATCTTCTGTTCAGCCTTCTGATCATCTACATAGCTGCTTGCTATCTGCTGCATCCACATAGGCTGTAACACAGAAATGGCATTTACTAAACCATCATCTGTACCAAACTCCCTTGATAATGCATCAGCCACCACCTTCTCTCTCCCTTTTTTAAACTGAATCTCATAATCCAACCCCAATAATTTCACCAAACCACTTGTGCTGAGATGGATAATTGAGTTTTTGATCCAACAAATACTTCAGTGAATGGTGATCAGTTCTAATAATAAAATGATGCCCCAACAATTAATGTCTCCACGTTCCCACCACCAGGACCAATGCCAATAATTTCTTTTCATAAGTAGACAAAGTCTTGTTTTTCTCACAGAAAGACTTACTTAGAAAGGCAATTGGTTGACCCTATTGCATCAATACAACCCCCATGCCATCACCACTGGCATCAGTTTCCACCACAAAAGGTTGAGAAAAATCAGGCAACCTCAATACAGGAGCAATAGACAAAGCTGTTTTGAGTTTGTAAAAGGCCTGAGTGGCTTGCTCATTCCATCCAAAAGCTCCCTTTTTCAGCAATCCCGTCAAAGGTTTGTTAATCACCCCAAAACCCTTCACAAATCTCCTACAGTATCTAGCCGAACCAAGGAATCCCCTAAGGTCTTTCATTGTTTTATGTTCTGGCCAATTAGTGATATTTTTCGCCTTCTATTGATCCATGTGAACTCCTTTTTCAGAAATCACATGCCCTAGATACTCAATGGAATGCTAGCCAAAAGAGCATTTTGATTTCTTAGCAAACAATTGATGATCCACCAGTAATTGAAAAACCATTTCCAGATGACTAACATGCTCTTGCAAGGACACACTGTAAACCAGAATGTCATCAAAGAAAACTAAGACAGATTTTCTGAGATATGGTTTAAAAACCTTGTTCATCAAGTTCTGAAAGGTAGCAGGAGCATTAGTCAACCCAAAGGGCATCACTAGAAACTCAAAGTGGCCATGATGTGTTTGAAAAGTAGTTTTGGGAATATCCTCCGACACACCCTTATCTGATGATACCCAGCCCTGAGATCTATCTTGGAAAACCATTTAGCACCCCTTAATTCATCTAACAGCTCCTCAATAGCTGGAATAGGGTACTTACTCTTAACTGTCACCTCATTCAAATGTCTATAATCTGTGCACATCTACCAACTACCATCCTTCTTTTTAGTCAAAAGTACAGAGGAAGCATAGGGACTATCACTTTCCCTTGATGTTCCTTTCTTTAACAACTCCTCAACTTGTGACTCAACTTCACTTTTATGGGCATGGGGGATATCTGTAAGGCCTCAATTTAAAAGGAACAGAATCAGGTTTCAACACAATATGATGATCAACTGACCTGGCAGGAGGCATGGTAGGTTCTGCAAAAATATGAGAATATCTGCTGATCACCTTCCTTAGTTCTGCTGGTATTGCATCTTTATCCACCTTCTCTTGCATTGTTATAGTAGTTGGTTGGTGATCACATGCATATTCTGGACTCACAGGATCAAACCACTTCATTCTCTTATCAAAAAAAGAGAAATGAGCCTCCATCCTTGGCCTTTTTAAAGGTACAACATTTCTCATTATCTCCTGTATCTCATCCTCAGCTTCCAAGGAATGGCCTTGCAACATAAATCTTCTCCCTCCCCTTGACAATTCAATTTGACACTGATCATAGTCAAATAATACTGGACTGAAGTAAGATAACCAATCAGTGCCCAAAATTACATCCTAATCACCAATATCCATCAATCTGAAATCAAATTGGAAATAGTGTTTTTGAATGGACCATTTGGTAGCAGGACAAATAATATTGTTCTTGATCTTATGACCATCTGTTACTTTGATGTAATAAGGCTTCACCACTTTTCTGTCCAATCCCAACTTAATAGCTAGCTGATTGTCAATAAAGCTCCTCACAGCACCAGTATCCACAAGAATTCTAACCATTTCACCATTGATATATCCAATGATGATAATCAATTTCCTTGGCTGTGCTTCTTCTACTTCTAGAGCCCAACACTCTTCCCAGCAAGATATAGTATGCAATGGAACTGAAGAAATTTCCATTTCCTTGCATCCACCTCCCAATTCCTCACCCAGCCAATGCACCTTATCCAAGTCCACATCATTATCCACAATTATCAGATTAATATGCTCCATTTTGCAAACATATCCTGGACCCCAGGGACCATTGCATTTTCAATAGAGATTGTTAGCAGTTCTATATTGTTTATCAGCCGGTGACAACCTTTTATACAACTCATTACCTCCTTTCTTATCATTCTGAACAGCCACCTTGCCACCTGCATTATAACTCCTTCCTGCAGCAGTGGTAGGAACCTTAGATTTGGATGATAACAAGGCTGACTGTTCCTGTGCTTTAGCAGCTTCAAAAGCTCTCTGAACAGTCTTAGGCTCAGCAAACCTCACAAATGGCTTAAATTCCTCCCTTAATCCACTTATAAATGAAGAAACAAAGTAAGATTCACTCAACTCTGGATTAAGACATAACAAAGAGGATTTAAGGTCTTCAAACTTATCATGATACTCTTTAACACTTCCAATCTGAGTTAACTTGTTGAATTCCTCAATAGGATCTAGAGCATCAAAATCTCTGAATATTTTCACCAATTCCATCTCAAATAAGTCCCAATCAACCACAGGATTCACTTTCTTAAAACTTTGAAACCAGATATCTGCCTTTCCATCTAGATAAAATTTAACCACATCCAGTTTCTCAGATTCCTTGATATCATACACTTTAAAGTATTTGTGGCACTTTCTGAGCCAACCTCTAGGATTATCACCATCAAACATAGGTAAATCCAACTTCCGCCTAGGTTTCCAACCATTCTTAGCCTGTTTACCTATGCCTAATTCCTCTCCCACCTCTTTTACATCAATTACTGATTTCTGAGTGTAATTAGGTTTAGTAATACTACAATTCTCCTCAATTTTACCCAATTTACCACCATAACAAGAACAAATTGAGTGAGGTAAGTGATTTTTACCCTTGCAGGATGCAGATTCCTCCAGTAGTTCAGGATTTAGCTCACCATCGGAGAATCTTGCCTCCAGCGCCACAAACTTCTTCTCGAACATCGTGAACATCATCTTCATCATATCCTCATTCGCTTTGATCGACTGCGTCATAGTAGCGTTAATCTGCGCTAGCTCCCCTCGCATCATCGTAACATTTTCCTCCACCAGCTTCACATTAGCAGAGGACTTAGCCACAAATTCTTCAAACTCCGTACGAAGATTCGTCACTTGTTCCTCCGCTGCAATAGCAGCGAATCGATTTGGCGGCATAAGAACACTCACAGATCCAAGGATCTATAAGCTCCGTACCAATTGTTAAGTCCGGTGGGATTCCGGTCAAAACGGGGGATCCGGCAAACAAAGAAGAAAAGAAAAGAACAACTCAAATTGTGGATATTCTTTCTGTAATGAATATTCTGGAACTATTACATGTATTTATAGGCTAATTACAGATGATCAACTCATCAAAACAAGCTAAATCCCTTGCATGCATGTGCGCATTAAATGCGTGAAACCACTTAACCCACTGAGCTGCGAACGACGACGTTTCTGAAACCTATTCCCAACCGGATTGGAAAACCCGATCAATCAACCCTCAGTCCATGACAGCCTCATTGTGATCTTTTGGAGCAGTTCTTTTGGAGTTTCCCTTATGTCAACTTTCCTCTTACCCGGTACATGTTTGGGCTTGTTAATACCGGTGGACACTGATCCTATTTCAAAGGTGTTGGGCCCTTTACTCCTATATGGTGCCATGATCTCTTTCTCTTCATTGTTGTAATTCAGAGCTGCAAATGAGTTACTCACATGGGCTTTTGACTTTGTTCCCATCGTAAGTTTTCTTTTGTCAGTAGCCGTTAAGCTGCTTTTCGATGGGTCCCCCCATAACCTTTTTGGTGCTTGCATCCAGTCCCCGATGCCATCAGGTCGTTGGGATTTCGTCGAATTTAAACTACAAACACTACAACCCACAAGAAATATGCTCTGCCTTCTATCAAGAAGTTAATCCTTTTTAGTTGTTTGCATTTCCTCTCCAACCATGGAGATAGAAGCCGATGAGACTACTCAAAATGACATTGCTGATGACAACCCTGTAACAAAAAAAGGTCAAAAACTGAGAAGCGCCACAAGAATTTCAACCCGAAAATTTCTCTTTCAAAGCTGCAATTGGGGGTTAAATACAACATGCCAAAATCAAGATGCCGACAAGATTACAAGTGAAGGTAAATGAAGAAGATGTAATCCACAAGCTCAAGAACGGAATTGGATCGGTCTGATTCTTAGATCCCGTTCAACAACGAATGAAAGAGACAATGGGATTCGCTATTGTAATAAGCCCTCTTGGCCGTGAAGTAGGCTTCAATGCTGTTTCGAATCGATTGAATACAATCTAAGACTTGAGAGGTGAAATGACCTTAACTGATTGTATCAGTGGGAAGTGGGTGGTCACAATGAGCAATGAAGAAACTACAACGATGCAATTCTCAATGGATCATGGACTTTTGGGAGAAATTATTTATGGGTATATCCATGGACGAAAAACTTTGCCACATCGGAGAATCTCTTGGTGGTGGCAATGTGGATAAGAATCCCAGGACTTCTGATTCACCAATTAATATATAGAGCACCCGGATCTACCTAACTAGGGAGCTCCTAGTTTACACTACACGCGCCACAATAGCCCACTTGCACCCATCTTCCTGCAAATTACATAAATGCCACTGCTTCAGTTAGAAAAATATAAATAGTCACAATTTTTAAAAAAAAAAATCACAAAAATCACAAAATCAAAACGAACCGTCCAAATCTCTCAAAACCTCTAGCGATTTCTCACTCCAGATCTCCGGCGTAACTTCCTCTGGCGAGTTTCCTTCAAAATCTTTGAGGTTCCATCCGCTAAATCTGCTAGAAACGTTTCTCCGGTCATTTAAAAGCGCACACCTTCGTCCAGTGAATTTTGCCCAGAAACTTCAAAAACTCCGTCCGACGAATCTTCTGACAGTGAAAAACACAAAATCATGCACGTGATTATCAGAGTAAGGATCTTCATTTTCAAAATGAACATTACTTTTTTAAAATTTGTATTTTTTTTTTCAATAACTAAGGTTTGAATTGTGAATTTTGTCATTCAAGATTTTTTGATGAGTTTTTTGATGTTCATTCATCGATTCTTACAGTAAAAAGGTGAGAACAAGGGCAGCAAAAATAGCTACGCCAGAGACTACACTAGAGCCTAACCCAGTGTCATCATCAGGCTCAAGCGTAGACAACAGGTATTGTTCATCCTGAGTAAATTTTTCTGAGATTCAGATGTTCATTTCATAGATCTGGTAGCGTGAGATAATTCCTGAGACTTAGTTGTGATTTTTCATTTAAACATTGTTGTATTGTTTTTGTGGTTGTTCATCATGTATGCTTCAATCCTCATCTCGTATGCTTCGATGCTCATCCTGTATGTTTTGATACCCATCCTGTATGATTTGATGCTCGTCTTGACAGAGAATGTTAGATTGCTCATCCTGTATGCTTTGCTCGTCTTGACAGAAAATGTTAGGTTGCTCATCCTGTATATTTTGATGCTCATCATGTATGCTTTGATGCTCATCTTGACAGCGAATATTTGGTTGTTCATCTTGCATGCTTTGATGCTCATCCTGTATACTGATGTTGATTTTGTTTGATTTCCAGGAATTGGATCTTGGAACTAGGTTCCAAGATCAGATGCTTAACAGGATGGGGCCCCTTATCCTTGACCTGGGCCAGTTGTTTGAGAAAACCATTCAAAATGGCATAGATGGACATAACATGTTCCACAAATTCTTCAACGACTATGTCGATGCCTTGAAGAGAATGGCAGCTCGTGCAGAGAAAAAAACTAAAGATCAGGAAGTAAACTCAGCTCCCACTGATAAAAACAGAAGGGAAAAGAAGATGGCTCTTGAATACCCGAGTATAACAAGGCACCAAACCCAAAAGAATGGGGTTTTGACACTGAATCACAGATAGAGAAATGGTGAAATTCTTCGGAAATGTTTGTATCTACAATGTAAATTCAATTAGTGATGAAATGTCTAAAATGCCTTTGATCATATTATATTTGTTGAAAAGTACAAAATCATACGGATTCCATTATCATTGTGTATCTTGATTAATTGAATTATTTCTTTTCTGTTGTTCACTGCACCAATTTAAATGTGCATCCTGTGATACTGCAATGTTTATCTTAGAGTCATGGTCCTTATATGTCAAAAGCCCTATAAGATCATTTGGTTAAACTACAATGTTTATCCTGTGAAACAAAATGTTCATACTGTGAAACACAAATGTTCATCTGGTTAAACTACAATTTCATCATGTAAAACACCATGTTCATCTGGTTAATATTTTTTTTTTAATTTGGTTCAATTTTTTTTAAACCGATTAGGTTAGGGCCTAATTGGTTTAAAAAAATTTAAAAGTTTAATCGTTCCTGGCAGAAACTAGATCCTAACCTATAATTGAAATGCTTAAACCCCCCTAAACCCTAAACCCTAAACTAACACGAAAATGAATTTTTTTTATTTTTTTTCCTTATTCGGTTGAAATTTTTTTAAATCGATTAGGCTAGTGTATACGAGACCACCCTAATCGGTTTAAAAAAATTTAAAAGGTGAATCATTTTCCGGTAAAAACTAGACCCTAACCTATAATTGAAATGCTTAACCCCCCAAACCATAAACCCTAAATCCTAGACCGACTCGGGGATGATTTCTTTTAATTTTTTTTTTAATTTGGTTGAAATTTTTTTAAACCAATTAGGTTAGGGTCTCGTCTAGCCTGATTGGTTTAAAAACAATTTAAAAGGTTAATCGTTTCCTGGCAGAAACTAGATCCTAACCTATAATTGAAATGCTTCAACTCCCCCTAAACCCTAAACCCTAAAACCGTCACGGAGATGAATTTTTTTAATTTTTTTTTTATAATTTGGTTGAAATTTTTTTAAACCGATTAGGCCTTGGTCTTGTAAACGATGCAAAAAATTTTAAAAAATTAAAAGGTTAATCGTTTCCATGCGTAAAAATTTAAAAAAAATTTTAATTTGGTTGAACAACGTACAATACACATCCTATAAAACTGTAATGTTCATCCTAAATTCAAACGTCTTCCATTGGGAAAAAATATTGTACAAATATGATATCTCATCCTTCTAACTACAATGTTCACTTCAACGAAGTGAATGCTCATCCTGCGAAACTGTAAAATTCATCATATGTCTGAAGTTCACTGCAAAATGGCAAAATTCATCTCAGGAAACTTCATGTGCATCTTGTACTACATGATGCTCATCCTGTAAACAGTCATTGTTCATTTCGATTGTTTCATTGTTAATCCTGCAAAACTGAACTAAAAAACTCTAAATGTTTATCTCACAAAACAACAATGTTCATCATGTGAAAAGCAATGTTCATTTCAGAAAGAGGTTTACTTTTGTAGAGAACGATGAAGAGCAATCACCTATTTTAAACAAAAAAGAACGATGAAGAGAAGAAATTCAAAAGTAAAATAACACCTTTCCATGTCATTTATAACTATGGAAGTTGAATTATAATTAAAGTGTAAGAGGATTTTCACCAGATTTTCGCCGGATTTAATGTGTTTTTGTTGAAATTTGCTCGGAAACTATGGTATAATGACCAAAATTTACAGATTTGAACTTCGGAATTCGCCGGGCAAAGAATTCAAGTTAGCGGAGATTCGCCGAACGGAATTTTTAAAAATTTTGGAGGAGATTTAACCAGCATAAGAATCTCAGCGGTGAATGATTCAAGAGGATATTGTTTCTAAAAAGGAAGAAGGAGAGAGAAAGGAGGAGGAGGAAACGATGTGCGTGAAAACTAAATGTTTAACGCGACTTTTTATTTGTGTATTGCACGCGCCCGTCCCGGAGTTCCCTAACTTGGGAGCTCCAGGTCCCCCATATAATTTGCGCCGATTCACTACTTCCACAAAGATATCCTTCGAAATATTGTTAAGTCGGTTGGAGTTTTTATCAAAGGAGACCGTAGTACACTGGCTTTCGAAAGAGGTAGCTACGCCAGGGTAGCTGTCCATCTGGATTTAACAGTACCCTTAAAGGGAATGGTAGATGTTGACGGAGTGTTTTATAAAGTTGAGTATGAGGATCTACAAGCAATTTGTTTCTCATGTGGGCAATATGGACATACGAGAGATGCTTGTCCATTGTTCCCGACGCCAAATGAGGAAGAGACGGTGCCAGGTACCAGTAAAGA